TCTGGGAGTTGAAGTCCACTCATCTTAAAGTGGCCAAGTTTGGACAACACTGCCTTATTGTAAGAACCAGCCCAAGTATTGTGACCTCTAGAAATAAAAGAGAAAAGCCTGACATTGGAAAGTTGAGATACATCATTGGAATCTCCCTGTTTTCCTCTCTCTTTCTTCCTTTTGGTAGATGGTGTGCGTGTGTAAAATATATTCTAATAAAGTAGTTGAGATCAGTGTACTATGCTTCTGGCTTCTTACGGGGCCTCAATAAATGCTTTCTCTAACACAGTATGCAAGATCCTACATTATCTTGTAACAAAGGGAAGAAAATCTAGATTTTCCAGACAGATTCCATCCATTTCTTACTAATGACCAAACGCAAAGCACCCAACATCCCTTTTACTGCACTAAGAGGAATGGCTCTGATCCATCACTTTTTAACTTTTGGTTCAACATGATACAATCTGAATTAGAAGCGTGCTGTCCTCCCCACCCCCAAGAGATTTCAATGAGCCAGGAAACCTGGCAGTGAAATGGCTCAGCTGGACCAGAACATTGCAAGCATCACAGATGTAGGCCTTAAGCTAACATTGTTACTCTAATAACTGTTTAGAAGTCATGTGTGTTTTCATAATCTTGCAGGCATGGTCTTGTCTCCCCTGGAGGTCTTCCCCAAGGAAGGCTGGTGTGAATATCCCTCTTGTCCTGGGTGCGGTGGGGCTGGGGAGTTCCATGTCTGAGAAGGCACCATCCTGAGATAGGGTGAGAGAAAGTGAGCGATAGACCTACTTCCTCAGACACAACAGAACCAGCAGCCTTGCACCCAGGGCCGCCTTCTTGGGACTCTTTCTGGAATCTCTTTATGCATTGCCCTGGCCCATTTTCTACATACTTGGTGAGCCCTTGAACACAAGTTGGTGTGAAGGAATGGTTGGATGAAGGCCGCACTCGAGGAGATAAGCATTCCCTTAGCCCTCAACAGGAGCGTGGGAAGTTTAAGAAGATGAGACTAGCACCACCCTGAGGAATTCACGGTGTTTTGGGTTGCTAGCTTAGGAAGTTAGATTAGCATTCCCTTAGCCCTCAACAGGAGCGTGGGAAGTTTAAGAAGATGAGACTAGCACCACCCTGAGGAATTCACGGTGTTTTGGGTTGCTAGCTTAGGAAGTTAGATTAGCATTCCCTTAGCCCTCAACAGGAGCGTGGGAAGTTTAAGAAGATGAGACTAGCACCACCCTGAGGAATTCACGGTGTTTTGGGTTGCTAGCTTAGGAAGTTAGATTCAGTCTGGAGAGATTTCTGTCTTGAGGTGGAAGCTCATAAACACAACAGAACTGTATCTGCACTGTCTCGGGGAGTTCTTTGGGCTGAACCTGACAGTTGGGCCACAAAAGTTTCCTCTTTCTCCATGTCATCACGGCGGGCACTGAAGCAATGGCCCAGGACTCACCTTGAACAGCAGATCAGAAGAATCCGTAACCATCTGCTTTATCTTTGCCATGGCTTCATCTATGCTGAGTTGCACAAAGCTGACTGGTGGCACAGGGGGCACAGTGTGCCTTTTCTGATATTTGAATGCTCCGCGGGCATCAATAAGTCTTAGAAAATCAAAATATGAGAGCTTGTCGTCCTGTATATTAATTCCTAAACTGAGGAGGGAAAAATAAGACTGAAGATTTATTTCCTAAATACTGTTTCTAAAATGGCTGTTACTAATAATTCAGTAGCGATTTTGATAGGGTTTGAGGGCTCCAACGTGGCTCGCATGCACTGGCAATCATATTTGTCTCTTGCCTGCCAGCTGAAGGCTTTGATTTTGTTTTTGTTTCTCTTAGCGCTCAGCTACAATACTAGGAAATAAGCAATTATCTATTTGCATATATTTAATCTGATGGTGTCGTTTTTGCATTTCTCTCTTGTTTACCTCCTGGAAGATGATGCTGGATAAAATGCAAAGGGCTGAATCTAAACTTTGGCACCTACAGTATCTCCGGGACTAAAGGCTGGATCGAAAAGATACTGTAAGTCATTCATCCAGCTGAGAGCTGGTTTGGTCTGGGGGCCAAGATGCTGGGCTAGGAACCAGGAGGCTGGGACTTCTACTTGCCCCTTTGGCATGGAAGCTGGCTGGGTGACCTTGGGCCAGGTAGGGCAATGCACGCCATTCCCGGAGTGGGAAATCCAAGTGGTGCCAACCCCCATAATAGCATAAGGATGGAGAATTTGCTACATGATCAAGACTCTGAAATGGGCTTTCTCTGAACTGCTGGCAGAGGAAGACTGGACTTGTTAACACACAGATAGGAGGCCCCTAGGGCATCCCAGGGCTTTAGACTTTTTAGGGGTGAAAAAATAACTTCCAAACGATTGCCAGAAACCCTGTATGGGGATGTCATGTAGTCTCCAGGAGCCAGGCTTGACTCAACAGCACCATCACTTGGGACAGGTGTCACCGGTTCCCCTAGACTACGTTGACCGTACTGACAGTCAGTCCAACGGCAACGGGTTTTTTTGCTTTCACTGGAAAAGCTCACAGATTATTCTTTCCAAAAAATGTTCATTGCCAGAATATGCATATTAGATGGGTGGGAAACCGTCTTAACAAAGAGGTGTCAGGATGCACGGAAGATAAAAGTGATAGAGTGCGGAGCCCCCAATCGCTGCGGCTCTGCGCCCCCCACAGCACTTTGGAGCGCATCTTGCAGCTGCAATCCCCACATTAGCCTGTGTCAAGCTGGCTCAGATGCCAGAGAGTCATTGGAAAAGGAAATAATCAACGCACTTCAGTGGGAGGAATAAATTGCCAAGTTGGTATTAACATTTTAGTAATAAAACCAAATGCATATGCTAATCTACTCTATTATTTAAGGCAGGGTGGTGGAGAGAAAAGGCTCTTTTCGGTCTGGAAAGGACTAGTCTGCAGAAAATTACAATGAATGGAAGTGTTTATCATCAAAAAGTCTTTGAGGAAAAGAGCAGGCAGCAAAAACTCTTATTAGAAGCTTAATTCAAAGGAGCATAATCACTCGATTTATAGGTAGAGTGAAAAGATTTTGTTTAGGCTTCACTTCTCTTTCCAGTCCTCTTTCTAAAAGCAAAATAAAAGATACTTCTTTGGAATGTCACTCCTTTGGGAGTGAAATTCTCCTGAATCTCACATTCTCATATAATTTATGCCATTTTAAGGCTTCTTTAGGATAGAAAGGTAAATGTATTTTACCTTTAACAGTTCCCTTGTGTTCTTCGCCTTAATTAGCTATCGCACAGTCCTTGGGCTCACACAAAAAGCTTCATGTTCTCTTGCTATACAAAATTCATATATTTGCACAATAGTTTAAGAATAGATTATTACTGCTGTGTGGTCCCAGGAAATGAGAAATAAAAAGAATCATATTTCTTATTAGACCAACCACAGTTAGCAAAAACATTCTCTCTGAAACTTTTGCAAATACTTGGACTGTGTCCCTCTTCAGTTTTTGTGCAATGTGTGTGTAAAATTAATCATGAAATTAAATTAAAAGGTAATTTGACTACTTTCTTAGCTACTTAATTTGTTCCAGGCCCCCACTTGAGCACCATAAGGTGAGATTTGCTGAAACTGCAGATATATCATCTTTAGGACAAAGGTTATAAATGGTATGTATAGTTAAAAAAATGTTTGTGGTGTATGTTAATTAATCTATTAGTGAAATTATATATTCCAGCTCTACTTGTGCAAGATGAACAAACTGGCAGGTTAATAATTCAGTGAAAAGGCAAAGAAACAAATGACAGATGATCTAACTCTCTATGCAGTGAAATCAACCAGACATAGATATCATCAGTATAGCTAGACCGAGTTATTAGTCTGCAGACTGTACAGACGATCAGTTTTCTAAATTAGCCTAGTTCCATTAAAGATGTGTCAAACATAACAACCTGTATAGAAGTTCACTGTACTGTTCATAGCCAAGGCAACAGTGAAAGTCTTCCAGTATCTTACGTAGGTTGGCCACCGATATGCAGCCTTCTCTGTTCTTATCCTGTTGCAAAAAGGCCTTGTGGAAGTCTTGGGAGCATTCGCGATACTTCTCTCTAAAAGAAAGCCATGCTTCGGTTACATTTTCCTATTAAAAACAGCCTCTATTTCCTCAGCTATAAAATTTAGATCCGGTACAACAAGCCAAAGTCAGCTGACAGCCATCAATGCTGACTTTGGTGTGCAGAAGCAGTGAGCTCTCAGTGAGCAAGGTGTGGAATTGGGAAGCCATGGGTGAGCTTGTGGAAATGGGACATGTTTGGCCATCAGGAAACTGAGGTTGCTTGTGGTGGTGGTTCTCCAAATGTGGTTCTGCACATCTACCCATTTGGGTTTTGTGTCAGTCTGCAAGCCTTTCTCAGAATCTTCTAGAGCTGAAGGTTATTTTTAGTAGAAAGCACACTCCAGCAACATGTGCACTCCTGGGGGTGTCTCCTGCTTTTCCCCTCAGTTTCCCAGAGCAGCATGGAAAAAAACAAAACATATGGACTGAGACAGGCATTTGGAAGGGGGAAGAAGGGTAGGTTTGTTGTGTGAAGGTGGAGAAGACCATTCAAACACCAGAGGTACAGAGAAACAGATTTTCTTCTTCATAGTCTCCATGCAGGGATCATCAAAAAGCTTACCGACCTGGAGATTGGGCAGGTGGCCCATCTAATGGAAAGCTGTGGATATAATCCTCAGCTCTCACAGCCCTCACAGGGACATCAGCATAGCGATGCTTTATGAAGGTTGGAGCCATTTCCCTGCCTGACAGAAGGACACGCCAGCTGAAAGCAGGAGATAAAGGGATGGTCTGCTCAATTGATAACCCAGTCGGTGGCTCCCTGCAAGGAGACCAGGAAGCCCCCTTTAGGGTCTGCATTGTGGATCAACAGGCTTCACCCTGTTTAAAAGGAGGTGGTATTATTCATGCAAAAGGCAAGGAGTTTATGCACTCTCCCAGAAGAGCTGAAAAAGATGGCAAGAAGTCTAACCAATAATTGTTAGACAGATAAGGAACTCAAAGTCTGCTTCGGGCAACTTGGTTACACCAGATTTCAGTCACTTTATCTTTATTAAGCTGCAGGTAAGGCAGGTCAGACAGCCAGTTTGATGTAGTGGTTGAGACTGACTTGAAGCCCACCCATCCCTTTCGAGAAAAAAGGTGCATCAACTCTTAGGGTCCTCTGTTCTCTTATATATCCAGCCAGAGTGACTGCTACCAGGAAGGTGATTTTAAATGTAAGTGAAGTTCAACATTGCTAATTATTCAGATGGCCTCATAATAAGAAATATAAAACTTCATGAAGGAACTGGGCTTTTTTAAAATGGGAAATTATACAAAAAACCTTTGAAGATGCTTAGTGATAGGGTGGTAAAAAGACTAAATGACAGTCAATAGGGTTTTGCTGAAATCAGTGCGTGGGTATACCTGTCCTGAAGAGGGACAAGTCCATCTGACTTTAAAGTAAAACCTGGAAAGCGTCCTTTAATGGACATGAGAAAGTATCCGGTCCATGAACAAATGTACATTTTCCATATCAAGCTGTTTATAAACATAGAATCACTAAGTAGGCAGTCCATGGCTTCTAGGAACTTAGTAACCTCTTCTGAAAAATGTTAAGAACAATGAACCAAGCTGGTTCTTGCCTTGCAAAACTTCATCCAGGGAGATAGAGCCCTCTGGTTCAAAGTAGAGATGCCTCTGATATAGCAGAACCCAAGGCTGATTGATAATCTTGAGGAACATGAAGGGAAGCATTTCCCTGAAAATCTATTAAGTGGGATGGACTCTGGAATTAAAGATAGCCATAACATTGCAATGGTGAATGGTGAGTTTGATGTTCTGGTTATGAAGTAGAGGTAGATAAAATTGTAGAGACTGGATTAGTAGCTGAGGCTGATGGAATAATACATTTATTATTATACCTTTATTATTATATCTTTCGCACGCTTCTTTATCCTTGACTATCAGAGAGATGAGAAACAACAGTGGTGATTTCTACTTTGTGCTGTTGACTACCCATGCTTCGTTGTAGTAGCAAGAGTGATGGATGTCATGATTAAAAAGATACGGCTATGGCCTCAGCCTGCCTGCCTATAGTGCTCATTTCAGTACTGTAAACTCAGTGTGAACAATGAAAATAAACAGGAACACAGGATCTCCTCAGATCATTTTCCCCCAAGGCAAACAGGATCTTTGCTGCCTTTGCTCCAAGATGGTGACACTCTAATTTGACTCTTAGATGCAAAGTCCTAAAACTTCTGCATTCCATTTGCATGGACTAGTTGGAGAATGGACTTCAGATCAAGAGGGGGGATCCCAACTAATGAGTACAAGAGAGACAGAAGTGGAAAATAGTGGACCCTGTGATAGCCATTGATGGGCTTAGAGCCGATGCCTAGAAGTGTTTGAGAAGAGGAAACCTCCAGCCTTGCCTTGTCTTTCCAGGAAGCATCTTTTGCTAAATGTTTCTTTCTTTGACTGATGGGTTTGGGGTTGGAAGAAAGAAGAGTAATTAAGTGGCCTGGCATTCAAGGACTAGAATCAACACCATCCCTGCCGATGTGTGACCATGGTAGGGATAGGCTCCAAGAATGTGGGAAGAGAGCCCAGGACATTTGAAGTTGTAGTTGCTGAGACCCTTTTTCAAAGCAACATTTTTAGATCAATAAGAACAATTATGGTTGGCGTGCTTAGTAATGGTTGATGATCTAGGTCTCTCCCAAAGATATCAAATAAATTGAGTGTCTATTAGGGTGGGCAGTTTTACACACTTACAAGATGGTGCTAGGCCATGAAGGAATACATTATGTTGAGAGAGTTTGACATCAGCAGCAGTCAGAAATAAAAGCAGGAACCACAGCCAGTGGCTACTCGGTGAGCTTTACAATGAAAATGACCCTCCATTTTAGAAGATTCTGACAAACATTCTGTGTGGGCAGAGAATCCTTATGTGTGACCTACAGAAGCCATCCAAATATATCACGCTTTTGCCTCAAATGCATCTTTCAAAGGCTTCTTCAAAGGCTAGAGCACAGATTAAACCCTAGTTGACCTGATGAGTTGGTTAAGCATGAATAAATAAATAAAACAGCTTTTGTTCCAGGAGTGACATCTTTTCTCTTCCTTAGATTCTTCTAATAGGTGGGGAAAAAGAACCAACAGGGAATAGGTAGGAGAAGGCTCCTTTTCTACAACTTCAGTACATCTCATAACTGAGATGCAAAACGGCAATCCAACAGGTGATGATGTGAGCTCTAGGTGGGCATGTGAGCTCAAGTTCACAGCAGTGGTGAATTCACACGGCAGGGCCATTCAGTAGAAGCTGACATCATGAACTGTGTAATTTGCACGATGACCTCATGATGTATAAAATATTGCCCCCTTTTCACAGACACCTAGGTCACCTATGATTTCAGATCAGCTCCTATTCTCCCACGTCACCTCTCCACCACACATTAGACCCAGGGGAAATACTGAAATGCAGAGCTGGCATCTTATATATGCAGTCCTGTCACTCAGAGGGACATGCAACGTCATTTGGCTCAACAGCCACACTGGGCTTTGTGTGGTACGTGTACCCTGAAACTACACACCCAAAGTGGATTTGGCCACCACTTGGATGTGTACAGAGAAGCTTAAGGGTTGAAAAAAATACCCTTAGCATCTGCTGACCTTGCCCCTTCAACCCAAGTCCCTCCAGATGTAGCAACAACAGCAGATGCCCCCATTTTGTCCCCAGCCTCTCTAGAGACGTTCTGGGGATGCAGAAGAACACCATACGAATGCTTCTCAACAATAGTGAATTCTGATTCTTAACAGCATCTTAAGATTCAAAATGCCATATAAATCTACTACGACATCAGCAGCAGAACTCCTGCATCCATTTCGGTGCACGGCAGAAGCCTAAGTAGTTAAAATGCCGGCAGCCTTGAGTGAAAACCATCCTCCAGAACACGCCAACAAAGAAAAAAAGGTAATCAAGATCCATTTTCTCTCCTTATTTTTAGAAAATCAAGACATTTAGCCATTTCTTGGACTGAGTAAACGGTTGCCAAGCAGTAATTATTCCAATCATGGCAAAAAAAAAAATCCCAAGCACCAAGTATATGTTGTAAACTATGGATTCAGCCCGGCTGCCAAAACAAGACAAAACTTTTTTTTAGAAAAATCACTTCACTTGCCAATGTTTTGTATTTCTCCTTTAATACTGGACAATCGCTTTTTAAGTGGTTCTAATTTGGAGTGTTTGTTCCTTTTGAGTTAAAACAAAAGAAATACACACACACACATCCAGATTGCTTCTTTCCTGCATACTGAGTTTCTCAGAAGCCTTTGTCAGTTGAATTCTGAGCAAACAATAAGCTAAGAAACATATTTTGTAAAACATTTGGGCAGAATGGAAACTACAGCAAATTAGAGAATGTTGCTCGGTATTATGAATAGCCTGCACTAGAGGTAGAATGAACGAAGCTCCTTTGTATTACAGAACAACAAAGAATCTTCTATTAAAAGTGATTCTGAGCGTCTCCCCTTTGTTTTTGCAATCCTCAGTGAAGTAGAATTGGGTAGCCAGATTTCCATTTTGGGGCTATACAGTATGATCAAGCAGGAGAGACAGCGGTTTAATGGCATCATGGAGCATTAAAAGGTAGCCACCAATTACATCAATTATTTTGGAGCCATATTCATAGTGAGGGCGTTAATTCACACAGTAGGTTTCATCTCACGTGGCCACGGGAGGAAAAATTCACCCCAATACATATCACACACAAGAAAATAATATCTGTCTGACTTAAACCAACTTTCCCCAAGTTGGTGCCAGCCCTGTTTCCTGGGAATTCTTAGAGAAGCAAATGGAGGCTATTGGGTCAGGGAAGAATCATGCAAAATTGATTCTTAATTCTCTTTGGAGAAGTCCCTGTCTTTTGCTTTTTTTAGACTCAACCTCAGCAACTTTAAGATGTGTGGACTCAGCTTCCAGAATTCCCCAGCCAGCATGTGTGAATTTCAGTTCCCAAAGTCCTTCATCCAGCATGGCTGGCTGGGAAAATTCTGGGAGTTGAAGTCCACCCCTCTTAAAGTTGCTGAGGTTGAGGAACCCTGTTTTAGACTGACAGACGTGAATATGCCTACAATAATATTTCTAGGGATGGGGAAATCTAAAACCTTTCCTTTGCTACGGTTATTGGAAAGAGGAGGTAGATAGAAGTACAGAGAATAGCTCAAAAGAGAAAGAAAGGTGAAGAGTTAGAGATGGATGGATGGATGGACAGACGGACAGTGTCAGAGAGTTGGACAGAGGCTGCAAGCAGAGAGGTAGTTTATGGCAAAGGACGATTCAGAAATGAGGGTTGGCAATGTCTGATCTAACATAGTATGCAGGGTTTGGTGTGCATATATTTATATATATGGGGGGGGGTCATTTTATTCTTAAAGAAATATTTTAACTTTTTCTTCAGCAAAATGGGGCTTATTCCCAAGGAACTGTTTTTAGCATCAGGACTGCAGAAACATAATTATTTTTGGTTTGGGGGTTATATTTATTACATACTGATTTAAGTCAATGGAAAATACAGATCCGCACGTAGTACATGATACCTGGACTGGCAATCTGGGGTCTGTTTTTTCTTCTAAGGTAACTATGAAATGAGAGTCTGTTTGGTGTAGTGGTTAAGGCCCAGAGCCAGCTGGGTGATCTTGGGCCAGTCACTTTTTCTCAGCCCTAGGAAGGAAGCAACGGCAAACCACTTCTGAAAAACTTGCCAGGAAAACTGCAGGGACTGGTCTGGGCAATCACCAGGAGTCAAAAACTGACTTGAAACACAAAACCCCAAACCCGTGAAATACAATCAAGCAGCACTAAGAACAGAAATGTGAATTGCCGGCTTCACTATTACAATAATATGCAAGGCCCAGTGAAGGGGCTTCTACAAAATCAGTGAAAGGACCCAACTGCCTCTTCAACTCATACGTCTAAGAACAGCGATCCAGGAAATGGGTTACCTGATCTTATTTATGATTTCATTGACGTTGACGTGTTTCTGTTCCTCTCTTTTGTAATGTTCCATAAAGTGTGGGTAGTTTTCAGCCGAAAACGGCTTGTTCAGGCCACTGACAGGAGGTACATTCTCCACACCCATTTTTTGGAGGAATTCTTGATGGGTAAGGTAGCCTTTTGCGTTGAGATCATACCTTTTAAAAGTTCAGAGAAGACAAAATTCTTTGGGTTAGTGATTGCTGTCCTGGCCCAGTGTATTATACTATGGGATCTTGAATTTTCTGTGCTTGGTTTGGCAACAGAGCGACATGAAAAATGTGCAAAAATATATCAGAAAAAGAAATAAGTGTTTCACTAAGATACTACACCTCACGTTCCTTGACCTCATACTACGCCACTAGGAAATATAGTCACTACAGTTTAATTTTCTACTTACAGATGTTTATTGCAAAATTTACTCCTGGGGAGAACATACGTAAGAATTGCCATAAGAAATGGATCATGGTCCATTTGTTGAGTGTGCACTTTCCACAATGGCTAGTATCTCTGGAACATCACAGAGCATGGAGACGATATCCACAAGAAACAATCGTGTCATGCCTACTCACCTTAAACTAGTTAAAGTTTACTAGTTAACTAGCCGTTAAACTAGTGACCTTCACACTGATCTGCATTCTGATATAAAGTTTTCCAGAGAAGATCCCTCCTAGATGCACATCACTTTAACATCACTAACCTTTAGCACACCACTCTTTGTTTCTCTCATTCATGAAAACCTACTTCTATTTTTTTGTCTAGCACACGGTCAGATTTCACACAGGAATGGTAATAAATCTCTACCCTCCCCAAACTCCACCCCATATTCAGTTAAAAAAAAAAAAGCAGAAGCTTCACAGACGTGACACAGCAAGTTGGTTTATTGCAGACCAGAAAGAAGCCACGTGTACGCCGTTGATCTGCCTGCTGAGCACAGCAACAAGTCCTCCAAATCAGTCCTTGGGTTTAAACCATGGGCTTCTTCTCCGGCCCTTTCAAGTCAACAGACATAGCAGTTGAGCTCCGTTCAGAGAAGGAGCCGTGACACTGGGAGGTACCTGCTCCCTATTATCCAACCGTTCTGCCTGCGTGAGTTTACACTATCCTTAGCTGATGCAGAGAAAGGTATAAACTCTATCCAATTCAGAACCCACAAGCAGATCTCAGGATCACAAACTATGTTGAGTCCTATTTTAGCGTCTTCCAGCCGGGCCACTGTTGAGGACCACAGAACATTGGGGGAAGGCTAGCAACAGGTAGGGGTTATTCACTCAGTCAGAACCCATAAATACAATGTAATTTAAAAATAATACTTGCAGTATGAACCCCAGCACGTTTATTCCAATGTCATCCCCACAGACCAGTGAAAAACGCTTCCTGGTAAAACGGCCATTGGATTGTATCCTTTAATTCCAAAGTCCCCTTCATACCCTCTTATGTTTAATACGGAATATCACTTAAGAAAACTGATTTCAGACTAGGGATCATTGGAGCTTATCAGCAGATTCCCAGTGAGATATAGCATAGTAGCCAATGAGCTTCTTCCCTTGAAATGCCTTTCAAGAAGGTTGGGCTTGAAAATATGGAAAGCTGCTTTGGTTTTCTTCTAAACAGATGTGTGGGTTAGAAATGCTGGCACAGGGAAATACGTTTGTCCTTGGTGCCAGCCCTTATATATGACAAAGATGGCAAAAATATACCCTAGTGTGTGGGGTATTGTCATTAAGACTGGGGAAACCTTAGCCAAACCCTTGTCTCTTGGCCCAGCCAACTCCAGAGGGTGACTACTGCAACAGTCGAATGAAGGCAATGTTCTTGAGGTCTTGAGCTCCTCAAGAGAAGGCGGGATGTAACTAACAGCTGGATTCATAGCCTTAGAATACCTCTGGGAAGGGGTCACCCAGCAAACGAATCCGTGTAGGAAGAGCTCCCTGAGAAAGGAAGGGGTTTTTTTTGGAAAAAAGTGTTTTTTTTAAAAAAAAAAGCTCTGCATATGTGACATAACGATTTTCATTAATTTAAAATTCAGGCTTGAGACTGTTTAAGCATTTGGCCAAGACTATATACATAATATATAGCTTCCTCAGTAACAATCTTCTATGAGCTATATTCCAATTTTCCAAAGTACCAAGGTAATTTTACGCTTTAATATTCTATTACTCTAGTACATGTTCTATTCTTGTTGTCTTATAGATATTTAATTTCCATTATTTTTTTTACTTCCCAGTATTGCCATATTGATTTCAATCACTTTGCTGAATCGCACGGGAAGCTGAGTTCGGTTTTTTAAGTCACCTAAGGTACGGTTGGATGGTTTAATGCTAAAGACATGCTTCTGTGGAGTTTCTTAAAGAACGAGCAGAGAAACTGAAAGCCAGTTGGGTAGAAAAGAATTCCATGGTGAATCAGTGCGAGGGAATAAACCACACTCCAAAAACACTTCAAAGTGTGCATTTGAGTATTAAACCATAGATCTGTTCAGATGCAACACACCGAATGGTTTCCGTTCAGCTTCCATTTCAAAGACAGGTTTCTGCTGGGCTGCCTTATAAGATCCATTTTTACGCAGAAAAGCTCTACTTTTTCTGGGTTTTGAGATATTAAATCATTTATCACATTTACTGCCAGGGGCATCCACAGGGGATGTAAAAAATCAAGATGCTGGTCGCAGCCATGCAAGTCTTGCCCCCTTTTTGCATCTGTCGCGCAAAAAACTATGTCACACATTTCAAAGGGGCAGGGCTTCAGTTGTGTCACTGCAGACTCCATCTTGACTTTTTTGACACTCCCTGAAGGCACCTCTGTACATTCTAACAACTTTTCAGCTATGAACCTAAAATTATAATTTTAAAAATGTTATTTTAAACTCTTATTTTACGTATTTGGGCTATGTTTCATGCTTCCGACATCAGGGGATTCCGGTTTTTTATATTAATTATTCATTTATTTATTTATTTATTTATTTATTAAATTTGTATGCCGCCCATCTCCCCCAACGGGGGACTCTGGGTGGCTCACAACAAAACCAAAAACCCAAGCCATTAAAAAGCAATACCGTATAAATAATTAAAATTAATTAATCAATTGACATCTGACTATAAAACAACCCTCTACATAAATACTAAAAAACATTCAAGATGACGGGGGAGGCAAGACCAATTACCCCACAAGCCACTTCCACTGGTGGGAGCCCCCATCCGGTCCCAGGCCATCAGACACAGCCAGGTCTCCACGCTCTTCCTGAAGGCCGTGAGAGTGGGGGCACCACACCTCAGGAGGCAGGATGTTCCATAGGCCGGGGGCCACAGCAGAAAAGGCCCTCTACCTAAACCCTACCAGTCGAAATTCCTTGACTGGTGGGGTCCGCAACATGACCCTTCTGCTGGACAAAGTGGGGCAGGCTGAAATAACAGGGGCAAGACGGCTCCTCAGATAACCTGGTCCTGTGCCATGAAGGGCTTTCAAGGTGATGGCCAACACCTTGAGTTGGACCCAAAAGCAGACCGGCAGCCAATGCAGCTCGCATAACAGCAGCATTATATGTGCCCCCCGGCGGCATTCAGAACTGTCCACGCCGCTGCATTCTGCGCCAGCTGTAGCTTCTGGATACTCTTCAAGGGTAGCCCCATGTAGAGCGCATTGCAGTAGTCCAACTGGGAGGCGACCAGGGCATGAGTGACTGTGCGGAGAGCCTCCCGACCGAGGAAGGGGCGTAACTGGCTCATAACATGAAGTTGCCCTCCTAGCCACGACTGCCACCTGCTCTTTGAACAGGAGTCGTGAGTCCAGAAGAACCCCCAGATTACGCACCAGGTCTGTCTGGGGTAGTGCAACCCCGTCAAGAACCAAAGATGATAAACTCCCAGATCTTGAGGCTCCCCGTACCCACAGCCACATCCACAATCCGTCTTACCAGGGTTCAGTTGAAGCCTGTTGTCCCCCATCCAGGCCCCCACAGCCTCCAGGCATCACGAGAGGGTAGCCACAGCATCACTTAGGTCACCCGGGATGGAGATGTATCACTGAGTATCATCAGCATGCTGATGATACCTCATCCCATAGTGCCAGATGATCTCACCCAACGGTTTCATGTAGATGTTAAATAAGAGCGGCGAGAGCACCCAACCCTGAGGCACCCCACAACGTAGGGACCATGGGTTGGTCCTCTCACTCCCTATCAACACCGATTGGGCTCAGCCTTGGAGGAAGGAGCTGAACCAGCACAGCACTTTGCCACCCAGCCCCAACTCCTGCAGCCGACCCAAAAGGATACCACGGTCGATGGTATCGAAAGCCGCTGAGAGGTCAAGAAGAGCAAGGATGATGCACTCCCCCCATCCCGCTCTTGCCAGAGATCATCCAAAAATGCGACCAATGCTGTTTCTGTCCCATAACCGGGCCTGAAACCTGACTGATAGGGGCCCAGATTATTTATTTATATATATATAAACTGAACTGTAGCCTGTAAAACTGTAAAATATTCCTTCCTTATTAAAGTTTTGGACTACTATTAACCTTTTGGAATTTTTCTGAAGGCCCTGCCGTGAAGCTATTCCCAATGAAGGTTTGATGGTAAAGTGGTTCCCACAGACCTTGACCCTCCTTGTGTTTAACTCGTTCTATTTCTTGTTCTCTTTGACTTTGCATTTAGTCTGGAGGTTTGAAGGGACAGTATAGTCCTGTTTCTTTTTAGAAAAGTACATTGTTTTTCTAATGTCTTTTAGTTACCCTTACCACGAGTGCTATAATAAAACAGTAGCCACAACTCTTGCTTTTTAAAGAGAAGTTTCAAAACCTGGCATTTTCCCCCCCAATGGTAGTGAATAAGTTTTCATTACTATTGTTTTCATTCCGATTGTCCTTTCCCTGAGATCCCTACTCTTCCATGTGCTTTTTTAATAGAAGCCCTAATAAAACACATTCTAGGATCACTCATTATTTTTAAGTATTTTAAAATTCAATATTTTAAAGCTATTTTTACTCTGTACCTCTGAAGACTTGGGCAGAGATGGGCAAAGTCAGGACAAGACTAAATTTAATTATTTAAATGTTAGTAAATTAATACAATGTGCTTATGTGTGCAAAAGTCCATCAAATTGCAACATCAAGTCAAAAGCACCTAATATGATTTAATGTTCCATGATGATGAAACAGCTTAAAAACCCATAGTGTTACATTGAAATTTCACCCAGCCTTAGTTAACAGAATCACATTTTGTTAGTGGTTTTCTCGCTTAACTGTAGTTTCTTTCTGTATCCCACCCAAGTAACCAGTCTACAGGGACGCAAAGCAAGAATAACTTTAAAAGTTTAGAAACAGTTTGTTCAACAACACAATGGGTGAATGTGGTTAATGGCTTCTGAGTACATTTTGAGCAAGTGGCTGTTTGCAGCAAAACAATATTCTTGGATAGGAAAAATCCAATTATTTGATAGCTGCTGGTATATGAGCTATCGTACAGTGACAGCAAGATTTCTCTAACTCAATTTTATTTACAGAACATTTTGGCCGGCCTTGTCAAAAAAGCTCAAGGTATTTTACATTCTAATACCGAGCAGACAAATTCTCTCTTATAAACAAGAGGGATAGAAAGAGTGATAATGTATTTGAAGGGCTGGAAAGACTGATTTTTTTTTTTTTTTTACATAGAAACAAAAGAAATCAGACGATGAAATGGAAAGCTCTCGTTCCTGCAGGGCGCTTTTCTTGTGCCACAGACCATTTCAAACAGCTGAATCGCTCTTGCACCCTTTACATATCCACTCAGCTGAATGCAGCCAGGCTGCCTGAACTGTAGCCCCCAGGGAACCAGTTAACCACTGGTTTAGCTGGGCTTCCTTGAATTG